AAAAAAAAAAAAAAAAAAAAAAAAAGAACAAAAGGACAATCCATCATAAGATTTTTTTTTTTTTGGTACCGGGGATTGAATTCAGGACCTTAGGCTTGCAAGGCAGGCAGCGGCACCACTGAGCTAAATCCCAGGCCATCATAAGATTTTAATAGACACTTCTTCAAAGAAGATATATAAGTGGCCAGTAAGTACATGAAAAATCATTCAATATCATTAGTTTCTAGAGAAATGCAAATCAAAACCATAATGAGATACCATTTCACATATATTCTGATGGTTAACAAAAAAAAAAGTAGTACAAGTGTTATAAGGATCCTAATACATTGCTGGTAGTAATGTGAAATGGTACAGCTTCTTTGGCAAAGTGTTTGGCAATTCCTTAAAAAGTTAAACATATAATTACCACATAAACCAGTAACTCCTCTTTTAGGTATTCACCCAAGACAATTGAAAACAAGTCCATACTAAAACTTGTAAATGAATATTCCTGGTAGATATATTAATAATAACAAAAAAGTGGAAACAATCCAAATAGCCATCAACCAATGAAAGATAACAAAATGTGGTATAGTCATGCAATGGAATATTATCCAGCTATAAAAAGGAATGAAATACTGTTACATGCTACAACATGAATGAACTTGAAAATATTATGCTATGTGAAAGGAGATAGTCATAAAAGATCACCAAGTATATGATTCCATTGATATGAAATGTCCAGAATTGTCAAGTGTATACAGGCAGAAAGTAGGTTAGTGGTTGCCTATGGCTGCAGGGAGGGAAGAACTGACTGCTAATGGGTGTGAGGTTTCTTTCAGGGGCAATAAAAATATTCTAAAATTAGATTATGTTGGAATTTACATAATGCTATAGAGATACCTATTATGTTTGGATGTGATATGTCTCCCTGGGCCTAAGCTCATGTGTTAGAGTCTTGTTCGCCAAGTTAGCAGTGTCCAGAGGTGATGGGTTCTTGGGAAGCAACTGGATCAAAAGGGCTTTAACTTCATCAATGGATTATTGTATTGATGGATTTAAAATTTGATGGCATTATTAGGAGGTGAAAGAAACTAGGAAGTGGGGTCTAGTTGGAAGGAGGTCACTGAGTTATGCCCTGGGAGGGTATATCATGTCCCCAACCCCTTCTCTCTCTCTCTACTTCCTGGTTACCATGAGGTGAACAGCTTTCCTTCACCACTTCCTTCCATCATGGTTTCTGCCTCACCACGAGCTTGTAACAATGGAGCAAGTTGACTGTGCCTGACACCTCTCAAGCCATGAGCCAAAGTAAGTCTTTCCTTCTTTATGTTGTTTATTTCAGTTCGTCACAGCAACAGAAAGCTAACATAATACCAAAAAACATCAAATTGTACATATTATTTTTTCCAGTGCCTGAGTTTGAATGGGGGGGCCTTGTGCATGCTATGCAAACTCTATCACTGAGCTACACTACCACCCCAGAACTGTATATTTCAAATAGGTAAATTGTACACTATGTACATTGTTTCTCAATAAAATTGTTTTAATAAATACATTTGTATTAATTAGTTTCTCCAACTTTTTCCAGGATCTAGACAACTTCAACTATCACTCAAATTCTGGTGGTTAGGTTAGAACATAACCAGGTTGTAACCCTGGTCTCTCCTTTTGGAAGAGGAAGTGGTGGGATAAATAAGAAAGTGACATTTCCTAAAGCAGCTGAGATTCCTCTTAACTGGTTAAAGGACTAACTCATCAACAAAGAACTAATCAACTGAATCAGTTTAGGAAAGAAAAGAAAATATCTTTGTAGTGACTAATTCACAGTTTTTGAGCCTGAGTACTTCTGTTCTTGAAAAAAATCTCTACTTGCTTCTCTCAGTGAATCACTGTCAAAGTGTTGCCATAGTCGACGTTTCTATTCCTTCTCTGCTGATTTTTTTTTTTTTTTTTTTTGGTACAGGGGATCGAACTTGGGTCCTTGCGCTTGCGAGGCAGGTGGCGGAACCACTGAGCTAAATCCCCGGCCCTCTGTTGAGTTTTTAATCTGGCTTCTGTTTTTAAGACCTCAGTGAAACTTACACAGAAGTCAATGATGACTTACTAATTGGTAAATATAGTGCGTGTTTCTTAGTACTTATTTTACTGGATCTCTTTGTAGTGTTTGAAGATATGAACTAATCTCACCTTTGAGCATCTTTTTGTCTCTTGCTACCATGCTCTCCTGATTCTTTTTTTTTTTTTTTTCTTTGGAGACAGGGCATTGCTATGTAGTTCACTCTGTCCTTGAACTCATTATGTAGCCCAGGCTGGCCTTGAACTCATGGCAATCCTCCTGCATCAGCCTCCCGAGTGCTGGGACTACAGGAATGCACCACCATGCCCGGCTCTCCTGATTCTATTTTAACATAAATTGTTAGTCTTCTTTCCTGAATGTTTTTTCCTGTCCTCTTTTACAAAACTCTTTTTCAGTAGTGGTGATTGAAGCTAGGAGCACTCTAGCACTGAGCTCCATCATCAGCCTTTATTATATTTATATACAAGGTCTTGCTAAGTTACTCAGGCAGAACTTGAACTGGGATTATAAGCCTGCACTACCATGCTACTTCTCTCCCTCTTCTTTTTTTTTTTTGGTATCAGGGATCGAACTCAGGACCTTGCACTTGCAAGGCAGGTGGCAGAACCACTGAGCTAAATCCCCGGCCCCTCTCCCTCTTCTTATAAACCTATGTGGTTTCAATCAGTAGCTCAGCCCTGACAATTTTATCTAATCTTAATCAAAAAGCTCTGACTCTATTTACTTTAGTCAGATTACATTTCTACCTTCTTAATCCCTTACAATAGAGATTCAATTTCAGCATGAGTTTGGGGGAACAAGTGATATTTTAACCATAGCAGGGGAATCTGGCAGTTCCTAATAGAACCACATGTGTATTTTTAATCCAACATTGCCATTTATAATGATTTACCCTGAAGATACATCTCCAACAATAGAAAGATATACAGGCAGAAGGTTTTTCATTGTGGCATTATTTACAATTGCAAAATACTGAAAATGACCTAAATGGCTAAACATAGAAATACAGTAGGTTGAATAAAATATGATATATATAATACTCTGCAGTTGCAAAACAAATAAGTCTCATGAATTGTCATGGAGTGTTTTCCAAGATATACTGTTAAGTAGAAAAAGCAAAATGCATATACAGAAAGAGTAAATAAAACAGACCTACATTTGTTCATCTTTACTAAAAAACACAAAAAAGATACAACCGAAAGCAGTGAATTTGGTCATCTATAATCTATTGGGGACTGAGAGTGGGGACTGATTACAAGAAATAATGAAGAAATGATTGCTTTTGACTATTGTTTGTATGGTTTTTCTCTTGGAAGCATTGTTCTCATACATTCAAAACATAGAACTGAAAAAAAAACATAGAACTGAATCAACAAGAATGTGGAGGCCAAAAAACACCTGAAGCTGAAAGCAAAGTAAAGTAAAACAAAGAACTTGTTGGCATTTCCAGTGAATAATATAAATTACACTGAAGGAAAGAAAAGAACTAATTTAAGTAACTTATAAGCACACACTCAGTTTTGCTCAGGGTTGAGGTTGGATGGACAAATTAAAACAAATCCTGAATTCTTTTTTTGGTTGTTGTTATTTTTGTACTGCCAGGAGTGAAACAATTCAGAAACTTAAGTATATTATGGAATAGATATGTTGATTTTTTTTTGGTACCGGGAATCAAACTGAGGGCCTCGTTCTTGCCAGATAGGGCCTGTGCTGTTGAACTACATCCCCAGCCCCTATATTGATACTGAAAGCCGGAGGAAGGGAGAGAAAACAAGTGTGGGAGAAGCCAAAGAAGACTCTTGTGTGTGTGTGAGTAGGTGTGTGCGTGTTGGGGGTGGGGTGGGGGGTGGGACCCTGAGGAGATGGATGGGAACTGAAGATTTAGTGTGAAATCTTTTTTTTTTTAGCAACAAGACCATAGCAGGGTCTCACTATGTAGTTCAGGCTGGCTGTGAACTCACTATGTAGCCCAGGCTGGCCTCGAACTAGCAGCAATCCTCTTGCCTCAGGCTCCTGAGGGCTGTGATTACAGGCATGCACCACCATGCCTGGCTTTAGTGTGAAATCATGATTTGTAAAACATGTATAAGAATGTGCATATATACATATAAACATATACATGTTATATATGTGTGTTTACATGTATACACATACCTGTACATTACCTTGCAAATATTGATGCTCACATATATGTATGCTTGCACATAAATTTATATTTTAGGTATGTATGTGTATATATGATTATATATAAATGTGCCTGGAAGCAAATTATTAGTAAGTACATCTAACTTCCAGATCTTGGTCTTGATACCATTCCTCACTACAAAGAACCAGGACTTGTAGAAATGGCAGATTCCAGGGCTGAAAAGGAAAAGTTCAAGATGTGCTTGGAGGATCCTGTTATCCCAGAAAACAAAGAATAGTTTTAAAAGTAAAAGAGCATGTGTCACATACGTTGATCCCTCTGCTTGTGTCACACCTGGTAACATCGCACTGGCCAAAGCAAGTTACATGGCTAAGCCCAGAGCTGAGAGATAGAAAGGTACCTTCTGTCTTTGGTGAGAGAAAGTGCAAAAGATGGGGACACATAGAGAAGTAAAAAATTGGGACAAATAATTCAACCTATCACAGGTGGCCAGCAAAATATATGATGACTATTAAAAAATACTTGTTAAATTTCAGCAACCCAGACCAGATCGTGGGGACAAAAAAATATTGCCTGTGGAAAGGCAATGTGGCAGCTAGCAAGTAGCAGAAACAGATTTGTTCCTCCAGCCTGTCTGATTGAGGCTTTATCTCTACTTCCTGAAAAATGATGGCAAAGGGGCTTTCCAAGTTCGAGTCCCTGGGTTTATCTTTCATCAGGGGAGCAAGCTCAGGATTTTTAAAATGACAAGGAATTAATGGACATGATGAGATAGATTCCATGCTACTTATTTATACTTAGGAAGATAGCCACCCAAGCCTGGTCATTTGTGGCAGATTGGATCTTTCAAGAGACCAAACTACAGTTCAGAAAGTTGCTGCTTAAGCAAATAATTTGAATAGATGGAGTTGGATCTTCCAAAAAATGTTTCTGTTGTCTTGTGACTTTTCTTTCTCTAGTCTGCAAAGAAGTGGATATATTTTCTCTGGGTAGCTAGAAGCAATCTTAAAAACCAGAGTATTCTGTCCCCTGGAAAATGTTGAAGGGACTTTACAGAGTTTTGCCCTCTGATCCACTCTTCTGGACTCCATACAGAAGACTCTGTATTATGATCAGACAGTGAACTTACTGCAACTGCTGAATTAAACTTAGATTGTAATCTGTGTAGTTTGTGCCTGCCCAGTATTCATTCATTCATTCTTTACCCAACAGTGCCTTGAATTTGCTTGGAAGAACCAATTCCTCCTACTCACGAACCTTAGTCCATATGGGTCTGACAGAGCCCACTCCATCTCCACTGCAGGGTGGTCCTGAGACCCAGACTTGAACTAGGCAGTGTATTCCAAACCCAACTTGGCCAGCAAAAGATCTAGGACTTTTTCTTTAAACAAATGTCTAAAAGAAAGAATCTCTCCTTTGCCCATGAATTTGGGAGGAAGTAAATTTGGAGTTGCTTGGAATCCCCAGGAAGAGAAAAACCAGGGCCGCTTGGCAATAGGAGAGAATTTACCTAAGAGGGAAGCCAACACAAAGGAAAATAGAGCTGAGAGAGAAGAAGAAACCAAGCTCTGAAGTGATCTGAGCTAGATCCATGCCTGACTGGAATTTTTAGTTTCATTAAATCACCAAACTTTATTACTTGTTTGAGTTATGTTGCTCTTGATTGAGAACAGGTTCTATTTACCTTCATCTTGTAAGCATTTAAGCACAGTGCCTATGAGCACTTGTAAAAAACCTCCCCACTGTGATACATTAAGGCCTCCAACCTGATCCTGGGCAAGTGAGGAGCAGCTGAAGCACTTCAAGCAATAAAGACTTATGTGTATAGGAGGTCTAGGTGGCAAGAGCTTAGTGCTTCTGTGGCTTTCAAAAGCAAGCAAGAGCAAACATGAAAGCCTTACTTCATAGCCCACCTAACTGAAATTACACACCCTCTGATGACAGGAGCCTCTACAGGTGCACAATGGGTAGGGCCTCTCTTTCTCCAAGTGCTTCCCCCTCACTGTACCTAGACTGCCTGTGGAAGATTTCTAGGTGTCCACAAGATTCTTTTTCTTAAGCAGTAAAGCACATTTTATTTTGCATGGGTAAGATCAGCAAAGGAATATACAACCTCTATGTGATTAAGATCTAACTGAAACAGGAATCCTGTGAATGGCTTCCACAATCCAGGGCAGAGAACAATGTTAAATACAGATTATTTTACAGTTAGAGGACTGAGATTCCCAGTTCTCCTAGAAAATACTATGATGAGTGTGATCTTTTTTCTATATCCTCATACTCTCTGTTAAAACATATATTATGACATGACGGTGAGGTAGAGTTATTTTGTCTATACTCTCTTCTAGAAGGGAACCTTGAGGGTAGGGACAATCTTACTTGTCTTTATGGTCCTGCTCTCCCCATACTACCCACAATGCCCTTAATGCTCAGTTGTTGAACTGAATTGGTAAAACTTAATCTCTATTTAGGTCTTATTAAAAAATGATTCAAGGGCCGGGGATTTAGCTCAGTGGCACAGTGCCTGCCTGGCAAGCATGAGCTCCTGAGTTTGATCCCCGGTACCAAAAAAAAAGAAAAAGTGATTCAAGGTAACATGCTACTTATGTTTATTAGGACTCTTCTGTGACCAGTGATAGAAACTCAACTCAAACTGACTTAAGGAAAAAAAAAATTCAATGATTCATTTTCAGACACAGCTAGATCTAGAGTTTCAGGGAGAGTTATTTTGGTGCTCTCTATAAGCTTTCCTTTTGCACTGGGCTTTGTTCTCAGGCAAGTTCTGCCCTTGAATTGATGAATTTGGTTACATGCATCTATACGCTAAATTCTGCCAGCTTAGCAGATCCAGTAAAAAGATACCTTTCTTCCCCAGAATTTCTAGCAAAGGTCCTGAGATCAAGTCTCACTGACTTAACTTGGACTGTGTTCCTATAATGGAGCCAATTATTGTAGCCAGGACACTCGGCTGCACTAATTGGCTGGGTCTAGGTTACATGCCCATTCTTGGAAGCCAGCAGCAAAGCTAGCCTCATCCAAACCACATGGGTTGAGAGTGAGGTGAAAAGTGTTTCCCCAAAGGAAAATAGGGGTGATACTACTCACAGAAAGGAAATTGAATTATGGGCAGCTAAAAATCACAAATGCCCAACACATATAAATGATCTCATAATTCATGCATGTATGTGCGTATGTGTGTGTATGAGTGTATGAGTATGTGTGTGTATCATCCCTAATCTGAAAATCCAAAATCTGAAATGCTCCAAAATCACAAACTTTTTGAGGGCAGACATAATGCCACAAATGGAAAATTTAATACTGTGAAACATTGTTTTATGTATAAAACTTTTAAATATATTGTTTTAAATTACCATCAGGGTATGTGTACAAGACATACTGAAACATAAACAAATTTCATGGTTAGGCTTGGGTCCCCTCCCCAAGATATCTCGTTATGTATATACTTCTGGTTCCATGTATTTTAGATAAGGGAACCCCAATCTGTATATGTAATTATAGGATAATTATGTACAAACTAATTTTATTAAGTATATCAATAACAACAATAATGAGTGTTTGCCATGTGCTAGCACTACTCTAATCACTTTACATCTGCTAACTCATGTAACGCTTACATGAACTCTGTGAGGCAGGTGTCATTATTATCCTCTTTTTACAGGCAAAATTTCAGGTCTGTCTAAATTCAACTTAACTGCTCTATGTTGCATGTCTTACATTAAGGAAACAAATCAGAAGCAAACTAGGGTATTTGATTTTTTTTCTTCCTCTCCCACCACCCTACTGGGTGGGCTCAACCATGCAGCAACTGCTGAACACTATAATGTGCTTAGTCTTCTATCACATACACAGGGGATAGGAAAAGTAATCTGAAATCCCTGCCCGCAGGGTTCCCAGTCTGGTGAGGGAGACAGACACATAAACACAGGATCACAGTGCAATGTGTGTAAGTGTTAAAGCAACAGTCTCTATAAAGAATTCGTTTCCTTTCATACAAAGGGTTTAACAAATTACTATAATTCTGTGATGTTATGAAAAGATCAAAGAATTTTAATTAAAATAAAAATTATTTCTACCATAGGCCTCACTGAGCACTGCTAAATCCAGAAAAGGGTGATCAAATGGTGTGGTCTTGTTCTCATGTCACTTGGCAATTATGAAATGTACTTAATGCTCCCCGGCTACCAACTTCCAGAGTGCCATGTCTATCCATTTACATTTCCTGTCACAGCTGGGTTCTGTCAAATTGTCCTGGGTCCTTTAGACCTAATAAATGCATTAAATTAATCCAGTATTTTTTAAAGTGGGAAAGTGTGAAAGGTGATTTGTGGTGAGATTTTTAAATGCATAAACTGGCAGTGAGTTATAATGTGCAAGTTATTATCATTTTTCAGTGCACTTGCAATTATTTTGTGAGCTATACAAATTTTATTACTTTAAAAATGGGTGTGTACAAACTCAAATTTGAACACTAATTTTTTTTTTTTTTGGTACAGGGGATCAAACTCGGGACCTTGCACTTGTGAACACTGAGTTTTAAACTTAAGGAGTTCCACTTCAAAAATATGGTCAGAGGGCCAGGGATTTAGCTCAGTGGTTCTGCTGCC